TGCTTGAACGTTCACAAAACGCTATAGTTACGGGAATGCGTATTCCGTGATGAAATGTCATTTTTCCAATCATACAATGCTTGATCTTGCCATAAGAGATCAAACTAAACTCATCTGATAAGGAATTATAAGCGTGAAACTCGTTTTTTCAGTCTTTAAATGATCCAAATCCGCCAACAACAGGTTTAAAACACTAATTGCAAAAATGCGTATCTCGTGATGAAGTGTCAATTCTTAGTGCCGAAAACGCGAATCTCGGCATTTCTGCCGTATTTTCTAACAGTTCGAGATATTATTCAAAATGCTGAAGGAATCTGAAAAAGCATCTTATTCTTGCTATCCTCAAGAATTATTACCCTTCTACTAACAATAAAGAGGAATGTAGACAGTTTTTTTTCTTTTTTTTACTCTCCTGGAAAATCGCGTTTTCCGAGATACGCACTTCTGCACTTTCACCATCGCATAGTGTTATCCAGAATATGCTTGCATACATAAAAGTATGAACTTCCTCGCTCTTGCAGTGATGCGTGCAGTTCGAAGTTGTTGGCAAGACGTCAGACGGTTTCGTGACATCGTTATGGAAACATTTAGGTCACCATTAATCCATGCTGTGGTACTGACCTGAGAATAATTTACATAGTTTTCCTCTGTTGCAAAGTATTGCAAAAGGAATCATTGAATCACTAGGTACTCCAACACTCTGGCCATACATAGTTTTTAATGTTTATTTCAGAGAGGAAATAATTCTTGTTGAAATCGCTTTCAAATATGTTGCATACAAAACTGGTTTCAGATAGAGCATAGGTACGAATATGGTGAAACAAAACTACGTATGTCTGTTAAATGTGTGACCTTGCGCGTGCAGATTTCCTGTTACATTTCACTTTTTTAGGGGACAATCGAGCACCCATGCGGCAGAAAATCTGGATTGTTAATGATGAATGGTCTATTTATTGGTAGGAAGTACCTATCTCAGAGCAATCTTCGTCGTGTACTTGTTTTTTTTTTTTGAGTGTTTTCGATCGCACAAGATCGGAAGCTGAAGGAAATAGGGAAATGACTCCAAATAATCCAAGTTTGAGAGTAAAGAATATATCGACGGTGTAAGTCAGCAATCACATAACTCGGTTTGCGACGTCGCAGACTTTCTGTCGTACCTACTTTATTTTTTAAACGAAAAACTCCGCTTTAGACGATGCGAGAATAATGCCTGCATTCATAAACGTTAGTAATTGGAGGCAGGTGAAAAGCTAATATTTTCCTTCATTTCTGCGTGATACCCAAGCACATACCCATCTGTTCGGATCGGATTTATAACAAGGTCGTCCAGAAAGTAAGTTGACCTATTCAATATCTCCTTAACTAAGATAGACAAAGAAAATCTGTAAAAAGCGTCAAAAAGCCACTACTCTCAGCTTTCTAACGCAATATAGATTTTTAAATTTGGTACGATAGAACTTTCGAAAAAAAGGATTTTTCTGAACCCACCTCATCTCCGCGCGAGTTCAAAATTTCACGGAGCGTCATCAGCAAGTGAGATTCTGTGAGTGCTGTATCTATCGCTTACCTATCGCAGAAAAATTGGCTTACAAATGTTTGAAAGTCATGTAAAACATAAGGAAAAACATTAATCAGCTAGGAAATTGCAGGATTGACTGTATTTCTTTTAAAATTAGTTGCATTCGAACAAAATTCTACCGAATCGTCAGCGTTAACTTTCACTCACTGTCTGAATTGTTCATAGGGCTTCACATTACTCCGCCCGCTCTCGAGAAAATTTCGTCAAAGATGCATTATTTTGAAAAATATGCAACATTTTCAACATTTTTACGGTAAATTAACCTGAATTTGAGCAGCTTTGATCCCCTTTTTTGATTAAAAGACGAATCATAGAGCGCAATTCACACACCGAAACCAAATTCAGCTGGCATAACTTTACGAGCTAACCACAATCTTATCTTAACCTTTTCACGCGCTGCAGTTCAGACCCACTAATATCGAATGAACATGCGATTTTCTGATTTAGAAATGTGCTTTCCCATGTTTTACATGAAATTCAACCATCTCTAAACCACTTTTTTGCGATAAGCGATGCAGGCTCGGACTGGCCATAAGGCCAATCTGCCGTTGGCAGATACGCCCCCTGGGCGCGCCAAAAACGCGCCCCTCTGACAGATAGCAAAATAAGAAGAGAAAAAAAATTACGACCGAGAATATATGCGGAAAATTTCTTAAATGAACGGAAGAAGAGAGAGTTAGGAGTGAAGGGAGGTGCTTTTACGCATAGTGGTGAACACAGGTCCAAGAACTACTTTCTGAAGCGGAAACGCTTTTTTGTGAAATTGTCACCTTTTCGTTGACATACAGGCGCTTTATCATCCCCCTCTTTCATTCTCTATGTGTAACTCCCGTAGAAGCGATAGCCGGTTCGATTGTTAGACATACGCACACTTTAAACACCTCTTGAGAGACCTTTAAACATATTTCTTCCATTTCAAAATGACTATTGATTTGGACATATCATAGCATATCTCGGGCAAACTTAACCTTAATTTATTTCGAAATTCAAAAGTAAGAGACATATAAAGTGTAAATGCAATACAACTATTCTCGCAAGATGGATGTCCACATTGCATATGAAAAATGTAAGACGCGATGGCATGAGTCGTGAACTCGCAATGCTCTGCTCTAGTTTAAAGCAACATTACAAATAAGACAAACGCAAACGAACACAATATGGGAATAAAGCGAGGGAAAGGATGCGCGTTAACGACGGCGCAGAGATACAACTATTCGTACGTGATGGACGTCCGTGCTGCATCTGAAAAATTGAAGGCGCGATGACGCGAAGCGTGAGTTCTCAATGCCGTGCAATATGCTGCCAATGAAGTGTCACTCAGATTCGGGATGAAAGTTAAAAAAGAGGCCCGAATACGTCTTTCTTGTCGTCGGCTGTGTTGATACTCGTTCTTTCTTCTTTTTTCAGATTCTTGCCTGATTCTTTTTTAAGATGGATTTTTAGACCCACGTCTTAAGCTCGTGTAAACCGCAGCACTGACACGGCTCTTATGGAAATAATGGTGCTGGGATGCGTCTAGTGGCTTTAATTTTTTTGTTTTCTTTAATTTCAGAAGTCTGTCGGTCACTTCAATACGTTCAATTTTACAATTTTTACTCTGTACGATTAATCAACTTTGAAACTGAAAATAGCGTAAACTTGTGCTGCTTTGCCAAAATTTTCTGAACCCCTCTCCACGAAGGAGATGCCCAATCAGGAAATATCATATTACGCCCCTTTAATCAGCCAAGGGTCTACGCCCTCAGATGCGAGCCAGTCCGACCCTGAGCGATAGATACAGCGGCTCACTTGCGGATGGCGCTCCGTGAAATTTTGGGCCCACGCAGAGAGGACGTGGGTTCAGAAAAACCCACTTTTCTTAAGTTCTATTGAACCAAATTTAAAAATCTATAGCGCGTTAGAAAGCTGAGAATAGTGGCTTTTCAACGCTTATTACAGATTTCCTATATCTTATGTTAGTTTAGAAGATATCGAATAAAAACGCTTTTTGAACGACCCTCTTATAAATCCAGCCATGCTTCAGATGGGTATGTGCTTTGGTATCACGCAGAAATGAAGGAAAATATTAGCTTTTCACCTGTCTCCAGTTACTAACGTTTATGAATGTAGGCATTATTCTCGCATCGTCTAGTGCGGAAATTAAGCGCGTCATCGAACTTCGCAACAGGTATGTGATGTGGTTTCGCCTGAAAATGAAGGAAAATCTTCGCTTTTCAGCAGTCTCTAATTACTGACGTTTATAAATGTAGGTTTCATGCTTCGAATTCCGGACTTCCAAACTAAAGAATCAACCGTTCGGTTTGAAATCTTTTAGAAGTTTCACGAAGTAGCTTTGCGGAAAGTGAAGTTCATTCTGGATACAAATTAAAATGGACAATTTTTAAACATAACACCAAAAAACTGAGACAAAAAGTACAAACTGGCAACTCTGCCGGTCCAGGGGCCGCGAGCGGAGGAATCGGCAAAACCTCGCCGGTGCGCATCCTTGAAGATGAGGAATGGAGAATTTGCATGCAAATTTTTTATTGCTTCATCTGAAAGTGCTTAAAAGAGCTGATTTCACAGTATTTCTTATAAATTTTTTCTGGTATAGGAAATAGTATAAAAATATATATAAAAGTGAGAAAATGCACCGCCTAGTGATGTTATCTGGCGGCATTTCCCATTTAAACACCCGTGTTTTAGCAGATTAGATAATTTTGTCATATCTTCTTCTTCTCCAATAATTGTCCAATTCATGAACCAAGGGTATCCTCGTTCATCAAATTTCAGACACCTGCAAATTCTCTATTGGGGTGATTCCTCCGCCGCGAGGAAACGCGCGACGAGGTATTGGTACAAAACCTCGTTAGTGTGATTTCTCCCAGATGAGGGATTCCAGGGATTCACCTCCGACTCCTGGACATGAAACCCCCGCGCTGCTCAAAATCGACGGGCGGCTATTATGCGCGCCCGGACCTGCCTTTCTTGGTAATTCCTGGACACAGACTATCGGCGGCGCGAAGGCATAACAAGAGTCCAACTTAGGGCCTGACGCAGACCGGAGGGGTGGCGGGGTGAGTCTTGGCATAGAATGGGGAAATCCGCCAGGATTGAGGGATTGGCCTGCGCCTGCCGTTCGAACTTCGAGCGAGCCAAAACCGGGGAAACATACAAACAATACCTCATTAGCTCGTCGGCGCGGCGCGTCGTGGAGGATTTCCCTAAAACCTGGAAGACGAGGTTTTGCGCTCGATGAGGACAGTATTTGGCAGATTCCTCTCCTCGCTGCTCCCCTCTGCTCGCGAACTTTGGTCCGACTTCATGTTCCCGCCGGTCATCACTTTAAAATTAGCCAATAGAATGCTCCATATGGAGTAGACCTGTGACGTCAAGATCCTCCATCTTGTTGACCCGTTCGATTGTTTACTCTGTTAGTGTTTGTTTACATACACGTGGTTTGGAGGTGTGTGTGGTGTGTGACAGTCATAAGGAATTATATTAATTTGTGAGTAATTATTTAATTTAAGGACTTAACGACCCTAATTTGCTCCTCCTTTTGCCACTCATCGTCTGAATAACTCACCGTGTATCCTAGAACCGTACGTATCTGCATGATCAAGATCTCAGAATCTCATCATGTCCAACGCAGTGCCCGTAATCACACTGGCCGATGAGAAAAGCTCGAAACTATCCTCAGATTCCACACCTTTAATTACTTTGGATGCTGATGGAGACTCATCCTCAGCAACACCTGTTATCACTCTAGACGAATGTGAACCAGAAAATGCAGAAGGACCAGCAAAAAATGATAATGAAGGATGCATTACTCTGGACGCGGGTCAGGAACTACCCACCGAGGAGCTTGATGGAACAAACGGCAAACGTGCCAATAGTGAGGAGTTGTGCAGCGCTAAGAGACCTTGCGATCAAATCCATTCTGGTCTTTCAGAGGAAGATGTTGGGATAACTCAGTACGTCAGCTCTGTCCCTGGCTTTGAAGCTGTGATCAAACAGAGGTTCGTTCTTATTCAAATCCCTTATTCAAGTACCTTGTAGAATCGGTCTAAATCAAATATATCCTCCGGATGGTCAAGTGGTAATTATTGCTTCCATGTATCACACAAGTCTGCTTCTAAATTATTCCATTCTTGCAGACAATCTCACTGGTTGATCAGTTAACTCGGGAGAAAGTAAAGCAAAAGTTTCAGTTGACCATTAACGGAAATTGTAAGCGCACTAAATTACATAAAATTTAACCTTTGCCTGAAAGTCCTAGTGCCCATACATGCGCAGGTATGTCTTTCACGACTTTGACAAAACCATGGGTTTTGGCTTTTTTTTTATTGATTTTTCTAATCAACTCGGTTACTTATTCTTCAAAAATCAAATTTTGAAATTGATTTTCCAATTGGACGAAAGGAATTTTGAACAAATAGAATTAGTTTTTCCTTAATTCAAGTCAGAGTTGCGCATAATACCTCCAGTAAACGCTTTGGTAGAAATTATCTAAACATGCAAATAAGACAGATTATCTAATGTTGTGCGGAAGCAACATTGATTCCACATGAAAAAGGGGTGTAGAATGTTACCATGTTGATGCATAACGAAACATAGAAGTCTGTCTTCACAATTAACATTGAATTCATATTGATTTTTAGAAGATAGACTGGGAATTTGTGGAAATATTTCAATGATAACTACATATCATTCGTCTAAGGTCAACGCGAATTTACCATTGAAAGTGGAAGATGGAGTAGCTGATTCCATGTTGACTCTTCTTTTATTCATCTTTCTATGATTTAGTAGGAACTGCTGAATTCTTTAAAAAAGTTCCTCAATAAACGTGATATTATTTTGAGTATTTGTCTTGTGATCACTACTTACAAGTAATTAAAAATGTGTTGTCAAACTCAATGCAAACGTTATTGCAAATGGAAACCGTAGAGCTTGATAGTATTAATCAAGCAAACCAATATAAGTTTCATAGATGGTCTCTACCAAAAATTTTTTAGTTAAGTAAGAATGTATTACACAGAATGTAAGATTTCTCACCTTCACATGATCAACATTTGAAGTCGTTTAATTGCATGACAGGAATGTAGCAACAAACTGGTCGCTAATGTCAAAAGTCCTGCAATTACCTATCACATGTAGTTGCATCTACTATTATATCTTGAGAAATTAACTCGTTAAAGTTTATCAACTAAAATAAAGGAACCTTTTTACAATTGTAATTTTTTCCCTGAGCTTTTCAAGTTCAGACGCTTAGTTGCCTAATGTCATCGATAGTCCTGACCTTACGTAGATATCTCCTGCACTTTGGCTCAATCTTAATTACTCACTAATGTCTCTTTTTTTTCTTATATTTTAGATACTCTGATTTTCAAGTGAATGAGATAGACCTAGAAGGCAACATTGCAAAATTAACGTCTTTAGCTGCACCACCACCGGAGAAAAAGGGTGAACCTACCCCAGCGGACAAAGAAGAAATCCTAACCGTCATGTCTGAAGAAAATCTAAAAACACTTGAAGAAATGATTGCAGCAAACGATAAAACCAAGACCATTTTAGTAAATGTAAGTGAGACTCAGGATTTTAATTTTTTTTTTTTTTTTAAATCTTTGATAAAAAACTGAGTTTGTCTTAAGGTGATTCGTCAAGGTTAAGTGATTTGGTCGAAGTGGCATGCGATATATCGCATCTTTTAGGTCAAAAATCTTGACAGATTTTGAATTTTCAGCAAAAAAAAGGACGATAGCCCCTGCGCATGAGCCTAAAGAATCATGCTAAACCCACAAATCGGCAAAATTCAGAGAAATGAAAGCAGGATAGTGTTTGGAAAAAAACCTCGCATTCGATTCAGCTATCGATTTCTGTATCGAATGCGAGGTTTTTTTCTAAACACTATCCTGCTTTCATTTCTCTGGATCTTGCCGATTTTTGGGTTTAGAATGATTTTTCAGGCTCCTGCGCAGGGGCTAGCGTCCTTTTTTTTTTGCTGAAAATTCAAAATCCAATTTTTAGATTTTTTACCTTAAAGATGCGATATATCGCATGCCAGTTTGACCATGTCACATGAGCTTGAGGAATCACCTTAACATCCACAGGGACCAAGTCTGAGATCCTCACCTACATATATTTTCTGGTAACAAATGAGAGTGACCGCTGTCTCATCTGGGTATTAAAGAAATGAGTATTTTATATATCGACGGTGAAAGTCGGCAATCACATAACTCGTTTGCGGTGTCTGAAAATCTCCGCCTCTACGTCATTTTTTTAATGGAGAACAAATTGATATTATTTCTTGAAGTTTTTGCAGAATTTTCTTCGCATTGAGAAGAAAAATCATGACAGTTTTAAAGAATTGCTGTTGAGTAGTTTTCAATTTAAAAAATAAAGTATGACAGGAAGTCTGCGACGTCGCAAACCGAGTTATGTGATTGCCGACTTTCACTGTCGATATGCATCGTTTAATGCATGTTATCCTCTCGGGTAGCGTCTGATGAATATTTTGTGTTAAAATACTTTGGTTTGCAACGATTTCCTGTTTGTTTCATACCTGTAAATTGCACTGTCTCAAATCACTACTCTTTTTTTATTCTTTGAAGGAAAATAGGACCTTCCCATCTGTTGCTTTTATTCACCGCTTTTTTTTTCTTTTCATTTTGGCTAAGAATTAGAAAAACATACCTCCTCCAGTACCGATTTAAGCCAAAAACCTAACATCAAAGTGAAAAACATAAATGCTGCATGAGGTCAAGTTTAGTAGAAAAAGCACAAATGTAACATTTACCTCCTTGTCTGTTTTAGGTCACAGCCCTTGCCAAAGAACAAAGGAAGAAGATTCATCAACTCCTGAAGTCTGTTTTTAGAGCAAAGGTTTTTAGTAATACAGTTGATAAGGAAAATGAGAAGTTTATTGAAATTGGCATCAATTCCAAGATAGATGGTAAGCTTCAGAAAGTAATCAAATTGAATCATTTGGAAACGCAGCATCTCCTTTCCTCTGAAACTTACTCAGCAAACTGCCTGACTGTAATATTCTAATTGCTTTTCTCCCACAGAAAATTAATTCCAGGCTCTAAATTAGGGCTGTGCAAGTACTCAAATTTCGAACTGAGTGTCGAGTACTCAAACTCAGCTCGAGTGCCAGTAACAAAAGTTTTTTCGAGCTTTTTTAAGCCAGTAACACCAAAATAGTCCAACTCTCAAATATTTTAATCATCTTAGTCTTGTCATTATTTTTCGATTGTAAAATCACATGTTAAAACTCAAAATGTCCCAACTGGACTCGGCTCAAGGGTCATTTGCAAAGCTCAAAAAAAGCTTGAACTCTGCTCAAAACAGTGGAAAAATATTTGAACTTGGCTCGAACCCAAAAAACCAGCCTTGCGCAGCCCTGTCTAAATGCTTCTTTTCTGTTAGAATTGACATTTACACTCATAGAATTTTTTCAGCTGGATTTGAAGTGTTAATCTAATGTTACAAGTTCAAATGGAATTAATCATCAATTCAATTGTAATTTTGCTGGACCAAAAATAACTTCAATAGCAGGTTTCCTCTAAAGATTGTTCTTACGAGATCCATCAAGATTTTCGTCAATGCTAACAATTGATATATTTCTCCTCTTTTAAGTAAATATTCGCTGTGATTTTTTTCACTTTTAATTTTCACAGATCGTTGGAATCGGCAGACATGGACCAGTGGAGAGTATCTCCATTTCATTTTGCATAAAGAAAATATGGATCATTCACAAACTGTTAGTTTGCTTGCGCATTTGCTGAGGTATGGTTGAAAATGTTGTGCTATTATTTATAAGGGTGCCTCTCTAATCTGCAGGGTTGATTTGCAAACTATATTTGGTATCATACATGAGATCTTACGACTTTTCAATAATATCATATACATCCACATGTTCATAGCAGGTCCAAGAAAGACCACTCTCTCATACTATCTATTTTTTTTAATGTTGGTGCTCAGTACAGCGTCAGCATTCCCCCTGAAACGTCTCTATAATGAATCTAATAGCATACAACAATACAAAAACAATAAATATTTATTTTTCCTGTAAATGACATTTGCTAAAAATTATTCATATTACGTCAGCGATGAATATTGAAAGTAAGTGCGAATATCAAGAGACTACAAGCAATGATGAAAATGTAGAAGAAATGTGAGAGGAACGATCTATGATATTTTTAAGTAATAGCATCGGTTACTCTCCCTTAAAAAGATACAACGAGATCAGAGATTTTGAAACACTAGATATCCGTGCCTGCAGTTTCACTTTCGTATGATTCGCATGGCTAGAATCTATTGAAAACTTGTTGCTACCCTGGCAAGCCATAAACCATCATGATGCAAAGCTTATATTCAATCCAATAATTTTTGCGAGTAGATTTGAAAAAAAAAAGAATTCTTGATATATTTTGATCCCTATGAAGTAATCAATGAGCATAAGAATAGGAATGGGTGTATCCATTTCTAAATTCTGGGGATATCATTCAAATCCTCAATACCCTCCTTTGAAGTACAGATCTTTTAAAAATGTAGCATTGAATTTGTAACTACAGGCTGAAACCAAACTTCATCAGTGCTGCTGGAACAAAAGACAAGCGAGCGAAAACAACTCAGTGGATATCAGTGCGTAGAGTGAAAGCAGACAGAATTGCTAACATGAGGCTGAGAAGCATCTGGTGCGGACATTACTGTTACAAGAAAGAGCCGCTCAAACTTGGCGACCTCAGAGGAAATCAGTTCAGAATCGCTTTAAGGTCAGATTCATTGTAGTATTCCACCATCATTTTATTTTGTAAATCGTCGATGCGAAACCATGTATCTCCATTGCAGCGTTTTGAAATCTCAGCTCTTATTTTAATTTTCAAAGAAGAACAAGCCAACCTATAGCTTGTTGCACAAAATATTCTGCTGGTAGGTAAACAAAAATGAAGGAAGTTTTCAAGAAATTAAGTTGACTAGTTTTCCAAAGAGAAAATGAAGTATGACAGGATGTCTGCAACGTCACAAACGGAGACACTAGGTTTTGCTTTTTGGCCCTTGATATGTTTATCTCTCCTCATGAAGTCAGGCAAGAGGGCCAATGCACAAGTATATAGCTTTACTTAGTACTCGCTGACTTGGCTGAAAAGTTGGAATCAATCTAAATTAAGGATAGCTGTTAACAAAGAAAATGGCAGAAACCTGTTTACCCATTAAGAATTTTATGCAGCCTCTGTGGGTCTATTGCTATGTTGTATGGCGGGCAGCCAAGAAATTTATTATTGTAAAAGACTTTTTTTTTTTAAAAAAGTCTCCAGTTTTTTTAAGGATGGAATCGTTTTTTCATGTTGTTATATCTCCATAGAGTAATTCCATTTCGGAAATTGCAATTAGCAAGGTGTTTGAAAATTCCAATCGGTATCTTTTTTGGAATGTTTGTCAGCTTTTTTTCCTGTTATTTTTTCCTCAGTAGCTTATTTTACATATCAACTTGATACACCTACATATGTAGTATTAATAATTTCATCATTTAGGATTTGCAAAATTAATTCATAATTCGTAATTGACTTTGTTTAGAAATGTCACGGCTGATGATGGTCAAATCAATGAGGTAATAGAGTCTGTTAAACAGCGCGGATTCATCAATTACTACGGCTTGCAGCGATTTGGTTCCTCTGTTGTGGCACCCACTCATGTAATTGGTAAAACTATTCTACAAAAAAATTGGAAAGAGGTTTGTAGTTACTCTAAATTCATCATGATTCCTCTTCTTTTAATTTTGTGGGCAGTTTTCTCTTTGAGATTAGGAAGAATGATCAATGAAGCAGTATGATACATAAAGGTATAACTATATTTGAAGATGAGCCCTGTTGTATGCATAATTTTATGCTAGTCAGGGCTTTCGTAAAAATAAAGGCACGCTTCTATATCAACAGAGTGACGAAACCTCCACTTGGAAAATCAGAGAATTGAGACCCCTCATGGAAAAGTGTCGATTTGTTTTCAATTTTTTAAGACCAGCAACCTAAAATCAGTCACCAATTATCAGTGAGCATCCAGTAGCAAAATTGGATTATTGAAACAAAATTTTTCGCAGATTCCGGCTACTCAATTAAGTATCCTGGTTTGTTCTGTTGTTGTAAGATTAACTATAGGCACAAAGTTAGGTTAGAAGGAGACGAAGGGGACACCCAGTAAAATAATGGTAACAGAAAGTTGAACAAAAAATGAGAGAGTATCGACTCTTAGAAAATCTATGGGAGGATAGGGTAGTTCAGCGGATGAGTGTTGCAGAGTGCCAGAGAGCGCTGTGAAAGCGGCTCTTATGTACGTATAAATTTAAGTACAAAATGTATGGAAAAGTGGTTAAATTGTTGAAAATTATGCCTTGTTTATGGTTGATTTGATATCAATGAAATCTACCTCTGAATGCTACAATTGTCATTTGTATCCTGATAACCTGAAAGCACTAAAAATAAGCACTAAGCCTTAATTTATGAGTGACGTTAACGACGCTCACGAGTTCTTGTTTTAATCTTCCTTTTTTTTGCATGTTCTTTTAGGCAGTTGAATTGATTTTAAAGCCAAGACCAAGAGAAAAAAATGACCCTGAAATGAGTGAAGCCAGGAATACTTGGTGGAACACGAGAGATACAAAGGCTGCTCTGCGCTGTCTAAGAAAACCTCAGAAATCAATTGAAGGAAATTTATTATTGGCTTTGGACAAACTTGGACCAACCGCTTACCTCAATTCTCTAGAGAAAGTAAGTCTCATATCTAGAATCCTCCATCTTCCCTCTTTTTCACATAATTTAAGAAAGTTTTTTTAATAATCCTGCAAAATTGGACAGCAAGTGGGAAGTATATCACAAGAAATGTCACTGGAAAAGCGACTGCAGGCACTAATATTAAATCTGAAAATAATACTATCTTCTTGTAAAATGAGAATTTAGATGAAAACTGTCATTGGCCCAGTTCAATGTAGTGAGCTCCTCATGGATTGATTTTGTTCCTAGATTGATTTTCAGTCAAAACGGACTGACAGGAGTTCAGGTGAGTCAGGTTAAGTGGTTTAATGTAAGGTCACCCTCGAATTCTCTTTCTATTTCAAATTATGTAACCTCATTCCATTTAACATTACTGTGGCAATGAATCAGGGTAATCAACTACCAATTTTTTATCGATAAATATTGTATTTTACAGCAACGGGCTCCCGGCCCATGTGGGTGTTTCAGAAAATGGCCACCAGAGGCCTCTTGAGTCTTCAGTTGCCCAGTTTGTTCTATCAGTTGCTTTTACCACCCTTTTTTCTTTTTATATCTTAGAGCAACCATGAAAATTTTTGATCTCTTGGCTCATTCCCTGCCCAAACAAGGTAGTCTTTATTTTAATCATCCATGCTTCGAATGGAACTGTGTCAATCTTGAGATCTCAATGGTAAAGAGCAATTTAGGTTTCAAATCGCCTCGTGACGCTTTTACGGTGGTGGATCAGCTGAATGAGTCATGCAATGTGGGGTTGCCCTATCCATGATGAAGAAACAAGAGGTAGAAGAAGAAATTTCAGTGGTCAACACTGTCCCCCAATCACTCTTTGTGATTGAACATCATGCACTCATCATCAATGATCCCCCCTAATCACTCTTCTACCTTGCATATTTTTCTCTACATTTTTTGTGATTGCAGCGGCTAGTAGTTCAAAAGATATCTCTCAGTTTCTAAGTTTATCCTGAAATTCAAATCGCTCAGAATTTGCTATAAGCAGACCTCATTTGAGAGTATTCTAATTGCATCTTCATTGCATTGCCTAACTTCAATTTTTTTTTTTTTTTTTTTTTTTTTTTTTTTTTTTTTTTTTTTACAAATTATCAATTTTTTTATTTAATCAATTTACGATCCTTAAGGTATCAATACTTCAATCAGAATCATGCTCAGTGGATTAAAGTGAACAATATAAAATACAATTGCCTGTTATGAAGTAAATCGAGAAAATATTGTCTTTTTTCCTGCCTACATAGTACACAGGTTGTGCTTCGTTTCAAATTTCATATCTCATCAACAATTTCAGAAAATTATCCACCCAAGGCAACTTGCAGTTTGTCTCTGAAATTCCAACTGGGTGATAGTTGTTTAAATCTCGTCTGACTTGATTCTTATCTGGAAGGGTTAAATATTGAACTAACAGAAAATTCCATTGATTTTGCAGCTACCTCGGTGCACAGCTCTACTCTATGTCCACGGTTATCAGTCATATGTTTGGAATCTGATCGTCTCACGCAGAATTGAAGAATTCGGGCTGGCACCAATTGCTGGAGATTTGGTTCTAGCAGATGATATAGATCTAGAGGTTGTAACCAGCCGGGAAGAGCTACTTCCGGAAGCAATTCTAGACCCTGAAAGTGAAGTGACCGAAGAATCAAGATCGGTCATTGACAGCAAAACTATTTCCTTCAAGGATAAAACCAATGCGGATAATAGTTCAAACGATCCTGCAGATGGTGTGCTGCAGACTGACTCTGGCACAAATGAGAAAGAAAACGGGGAGAACAAGTCAGGTAGATAAAAAAATTGAGTTTTAATCCAGTAACTGTTAAGGAAAAGGAGTTGCTGATTATATTGACTGTAATTGCCTCAATATCTTGAAACAAAAATTAGCATAGTTTATGTGTACGTTTCAACTTCAAACTTAAGTAATTAGTCCAACCAATTTTCTTTCAAGCTTAGATGCTTATTTTTTCTTTCTACAGAAACACTTTTTCATTCAAAGGACCACACACACACATTGCTCATTGCAGTAATAGTTACATTATATTTGTGACCGGATCTGTGAAAAGGGACCTCATCTTCCAGAAGAAAATTTTCCTTGGCTTTTTGTAAATACATGAAAGAAAAAAGTGTGGAAATTTTGGTGCAAGTCTGACCCTGAAAGCTCAAAAATGGAAGGAGATATAAGTCCCAAAGTTCCAAGGTGAACATTCATTAGCTGTAGAAAAATGTCATTTTAGTTTTTGAAGAAATTCACAGAGAATTTTCTGCAGGAAGTAATGGTCCTTTTTCTCAGATCCGGTCACTTAAAAGGAAGCATAAAGTGTACTTGTTTTAAAATTATATAATCATTTCTACTGATACTCTTGCCTTTTTTAATCTATATTTTTTAATATTCCGTAGCAGATGATATCAAACCACGAAAGTTGAATGTAAGAAAATTAACGCAAGAAGATCTCCAGACTGCAAGGATGGAAGATATCATATACCCTCTACCAGGGCATGACATCGAATACCCAGACAATGTGATTGGGAGTTGGTACAAAGAAATTCTGGAGCAAGATAATCTCACCTCCGCCAGCTTCAAACAAAGTGTCAAGTAATGATTTTTATGTATCTCTTTTCAATTACCTAATCACTTACAGCCTCCTCTGAGTCTTGGCCTCCTTGACAATGCCAAGCTCTTTGTTAGAATTTGTAGCGAGGGTTTTTAACACAGCAGGGTTGCCAGCTGTATGTGAGCCTTTCCTGTTTCACTTGCATTTTGAAACCATCTAGATATTAATATCCCACCCCTAGGCAGAATCCCTGATAATTTTTTTTATATTCTAGTCTGCAGCCATGGAAACAAATTGGGAATTTTCTGTTTTTGAGAGGTCAGCTGACCACATAATTTAAGTGTAATGTGTTTTTCTATTGTCCTTAACTTTGATAGAATCGGCTTTAGAGATGAAAATATTGCTAATTTTAAATTTTTTTTAGTGGCTTGACCACTTGAAACACAGAAAATTCTAATAATCAAGCATAGATAATTTGTCATGGAAGCCGATCAGGATTGACATCACCCCTCAAAATCTTTCTGTATGAACTTATAACATACTTTCAATATGTTTTACAATGAATCACGAAACAAATTATTCATTGTATGGCAAAAAAAACTGCCCTCTGTTTTTTTTCAAACTAATCATTGAGGTACACCTGAAGTGCTATGAATATTAATTTTTTGCAACCAATAAAGCTAGTCAGGGTAAACGAATATTAGATACTCAACTACTCAAGGACTAATGTATTATTTTGTCTTTCATTTTCTAGGTTATTTTTCACTCCAGGATCATACAGAAAAATGATGTGCATTCCTAAAGATGTATCATGGTCAATTATGAAATACAATGATGTAAATGAGAACTTGATTTTATCGGATTTGGAAGAATTGAAAGGCTTGCCGAAGCCCAAAAGTGAAGAAGGTAATATTTCACCGATATTTTTTGTGCTACCCAATACAGAATCAGGACTTGACAGCAAGTACAGAATTGGTGGTTTAAAGTAGGAGCGCACTTATGCTGACAAAGTAATTGAGAAAGTTACAGCCAAAATGAAAGGTCTTACAGGAACACACACCCCCTCCTCCCTCAAAGTGAAAGGCTCTCAGGGGCCCCTCTCCGGGTTTGGGAAAAATATCACTTAAAAATATAAATTTTGGTCCATTTTCAACTAGAACATCCATTAAAGACTAAGAATATTAATCAAAGAATGTTATGCTATAGTCCGCGCCATGAAAAGTGGCGGGTGAGGGGCGGAGCGAATCGGCTGGTCCAGTCTATCGTTGAAGGGTTGAAGCGCAGGTATTGGCCCGTAGTTCCGACAGGGTAACGACTGGGCCAATACCTTCGCTTCAACCCTTCAACAATAGACTAGACCGGCCGACTCGTTCCGCCCCTCACCCGCCACTTTTCTTGGCGCGGACTACAGAAAAATTTAGCCGTATGCTGTAATCGTGTCCTGTTGCCTTATTTTGTGAGGGAGCTCACATTGCTGACTTTGGTCAGAAAGTTTTATTTTGGCCAGTTATTTGCTATTTGATCCAATTTTTCCCTGTAATTCTGAGCTTTTTCTCGGAAAAGGAAAAAAGGAGAATTAAGATGACCAACTGCCCCAAATTACTGTCTGATCAGTTTGGATGTTTCCTGGTTTTCCTGTCATCCTTTCCATCCCGGTTTCTAAGTTCTATGTCAGCTCTGAGATTGTAGAGATGGAATGATGAAAATTTTTTGGTTTTATGAGAAGATGAATTTATGGACTTTCACTAGCCTGTCTCAAAGATTTAAGATCTTCATCACCAATAATAATTTTGGAAACTGTTGAGTCAAAGATGTTAGACATTAAGTTTAAAATGAGACCCTCCTAAGAGAAAAGAAAAACACACTTGGTCGAAAACAAATTTTGAAACAGGATTAAATTTATCTTCATTAAACATAACAATGTCTTATTATTAGATAGGATATACAGACTGTAATTACAGAAATTGTTATCTCTGATTTTTTCAGGTGGATCTTTCAAAGCTATTACAGTTAAAATGTGCCTTCCCTCATCTAGCTATGCAACAATGTTACTTAGAGAGATCACAAAATCTTCAACTTCTACTAGTCATCAAGCCAGTCTAACTGCCAAATCTATGGTAGCAGCGGAAACATGAGGTTAGTAGTTATTCTTACATCTGTAATGTTTATCAATATATAACGTGAAAAATGCACAGGTATCTAAAACATATTTGAAAAAAATTCCTGTCATGTTTTATATTCCTCAGGGGCATCTGATTAAATTATCTCCCTGCAATTTTGTGTGATTTTTCCCAAATGAGTCAAGAAAATTCTCAGAAAACTTTGATTGGCAAAACTATTGATTGGTATCCCTCTAAAAAGATAGGCTTCATCCGGCATGTAAAGCTTGATGATTCCGGAAGTTGGTTTGCTTTCCAAACCCACGCCCACAGATATTGCAAGTGAACGGCCAGCGTCCCGAGTGAGAGTACTGGTGAGCTCGCAAATTTCCAGGTGTTGGAAACGATTTCCCACACGTTTGACATTTGTGTGGTTTTTCCTGGAAAGAAAGGAAAATGAAATATCATGCTCAATTTTATTGGACACATCTTGAATAAAGTAATATTTTTAAGAAAAATACTTAACTGATGATTAATAATACCAATTTTTGTTTCGTATTAGACATAACATAGGCAATTGTCACTCTTCATTTCTAAGAGGTAGATTTGTTCAATCAACAGAACATACAGCAGGAATAAGTAAAACACTACGTAGGCTCCATTTAAAATATATACAAATTATTTAAGTCTCGTATCGTAGAATACTGATTCTCATTTCCATTTGCTCCGCAAAATGTGTCGGACTTTTTTTGTTTTTCGTTGAAAAGATATGTAGACTTCTCTCATGTGTTATTATTTTTTTATAATGCTGTTTTTTTGCATCTCTGAATCAAATAAATTGTTTGAAAATTGATTTTAAAGATGCGCAGTCCGAGATTGATCATTAATCTATTTATGAAGATGTTATGTTATAACTCTGAGGTGATTTTACCATGTAAAAAGGGCTTGAAGGACAAAACTTATAAGTGCAGTTTTTGAAAAAAATCTAGTATCAATGATTAACCTGTCTTAAAATATATTCTGTAAAAAATTCACAATAAAAATTCAATATTTAAACATCGGAAAGTGAGTCAGAACTTTCTTTCTGCCATAAAGCGCCATGTAATTTCGGAACTTTAAACGCCCGTTATTTAAAACAGCAAAAATTGCACTTATGCGCCTTGTTCTCTAAGCGCTCTTGTGATGTCTTAAAGATACCCGTTTGGTTCAAGTATTCACTGCTTTTAATTTTTTCATTAAATAATTCTTTCATATTATTCTAAAATTGACCTTCCCACCATCATGATAGTTACCTTACTATGCGTCATTTTATGGTAGTACAAATTCGAACTAGCTGTGAATCTTTTTGAGCAGATAGAACATTGGTGAGGTCGTTCACCACTATGTATTCGTCGGTGTGTGTTGAGAGAACTTGAAGTTGAAAATCCTTTTTTACAAACATCACAGATGTGTGGCTTCTCTCCTGCAATCATCAATAAATCAATGAGTGAAATATTTACAACACAATCTTAAGCATTAAAATCTGTCACGTTTTTAACCAACTTAACTTGTTGACTGCCTCGACCGGCCTCAAAGGGTTCTGCCAGGGCCTGCTGCTGTCAAAGCCGTGTATATGCCCCACGACATTGCCATTGCGTGTTCGTGTTATGTGGCTCACAACTGGCCGGGCCGTAGCGAGAGAATGAACCACTGAAACTTTGTTTTTTTCTTTTAACGATACTTAAAAACAGGCTGCAGCACCGGGGAAAATAAGTACCTAAATCACTGTGGCAGTCAGTGTGTTAAGGCATTTGTGGCAGATAAAGTGTCCTGATGGGTTCTTTTACATTTATTTTTGGGGCACTCCCCTCAACACTTCTCTACGCAAACTTTTCTCCTCCACAAATACGTATAAAGCAATTTATAACGTCAATTCGGCAACAACGCTGGGCCCTGAATAATACATATGATGGGGGGGGGGGGATTGATTTTCTTGGAATTATCAAGGTTTTTTCAAGGGACTGGCTTTTACTTTGTACTAATGAAAATTTTGATTCAACAAGGTCTGAATGGGTCAGTTGGGCTGGTCACAGAATCCTGTTTTGATGCTTGATTCTCGTAGATTAGTGAAAAATATTAAGATCCGTCCAAACCAAACCGCAACTTTATACGTTCAACATGAACCGAGATATCACCCTTTGAAAAGTCAGGTTTTTGCCGTCATCCACTGCGGCAGTGACACCCTTGGTTTCTTCCTCTTTTGTTTGATCAGTGATGCAGAAGGTGCAACGCAAAACTTCAACGACGCTAAACGTAAAAGAACTCAAGAAATGGAGGGATTTGCAGTATATAGGTCTTCTTATCATTTGATAACGCACTCGCTACAAAGAAATTAGGCGATCAGTCAGTTCATCTCCAGTTTGTTTACGTTTAACGTCCTTGAAGTTTCGCGTTGCACCCTCTGCATCACTGATCGAACAAAAGAGGAAGAAAGCAAGGGTGTCACTGCTGCAGTGGATGACCTCAAAAACCTGACTTTTCAAAGGGCGATATCTCGGTTAATATTGAACGTAGAAAGTTGCGGTTTGGACAGATCTTATTATTTAAAGCTAATCTACAAGAATCAAGCATGCAATCACGATTCTGTGACCAGCACAACTGACCCATTATTAAAAGATGGCCGTATCCTCAATGTCCTTTAAAGAATTTTAGTTATCCTACTATTTGCTCAATTTCTTATCTGGTTCTATAGTCATGGATACCTCCTTTTAGCGGTTATTCACATTCCATAGTTGTATATGATCTAATTTCAGTCATGAACTTCATACCTGTATGTGTCCTCATATGTCTTCGCAAGAGCGATGGCCGGTCAAAATATTTACCGCAAACTTCACACTGTAGTAATCGCTGAGTTTTCGATGTAGTTTTCTTGAGTTTACTGTCTAATTTTTGGATGTCATTATTTTTTTCAGAGTCGGTGGCTGATTTCTTCCAAGATAAATCCAATGGAAATTCAGCCAAATCTAAGAAATATGGAGTCAAGGAGCTTTATTAACTTTTTGCAGGTACGTTTCCATACATTTTCAAATTTAATGAATGAAAAAGTTATACCAAGATGTCACTCAGGTTAAAATTTAGCAAGGGATGTCTCTTCATTAAATTTAGCATTTAATCATTACTTGGATGCAAGTTTGATTGCCACGATTTTTCAAAATCCAACCCAAGTGTTTTTAAGGCTTTCTGCCCAATGGACTACTAGATAGTGTAAAAATTTAGCAGTATCAAAATTTTATGTAGAACACATTGAACTCATAAACAAGTTTGATGCAATAAAAAAATGGGAATTTGATGTTAGCACACATTCCCATAACGAGTTTGTGGGGCTTTTTCTATTCGTAGTAAAATCGAATCATTTACTTTTAACAGAGCCTCAAAGACGAACAATTTTGTGCCTTTGTTTTCCTTCTTTATCAGGATTTTTAGAACTCATGAGTTTTCTGAGCTTAGGTCCTTCAAAATTTCTTCAGATTTACAGCTTTTGATGAATCATTTAGGGAGTCACGTTCATGTAGTGGAGCCGGGCGGTTGCTTGCTGCAACATGTTCTGGCTCGGAAATGTATAAATATTCGTATTAGGTCTTTTTCGGGAATTTTTAATGACAAAGTGATCGTTCTTAACTGGTTGTGTACCCCCTGAAAGTTGGAACTCGTTTTTTCGGATTTTTACGAAGATATTGACGATGTTTGAGAATTTTTTGTGAGTTCTCAAGTGATTTATCTGTACAATTGTTGCCTATGCAACGTTGCAATGGCAATTAAAGGCTGATAAGATGCTCTCTCGGGGCCTTATCTTTTTTCAATCGATTCAATTGATTATCGGAATAGTGACGGACTGAGTAAAGAGAAACAAGAGAATAAGTAGAGCCTTATGGCGATTACAGACTGGAAGGACGGATTACACAACATTATACAAGGATCTTTTTTGGTATACGCTACACAGCTAGACATACGGACAAACGGCACTCTTTTGGATTGTGAAATCCCGGTGGACCTTTTCGTTTGTGACAATTTTTAGTAGTGCATGGCTCCCAAACCTCCTATCTTAGAACTTGTCCTGAGATAGATGTGACAGATTTTCTGGATCTTAGGAGAGGGGGTTCCCCCTCTTCAAACTCTCATCAATCAAGATAGATGTAATGAAATATTTTGACCTTTTGTTGTGATCTCTTAATTGAGTTAATGTACTGATTTCTCTTAAATGAGAAAACTGTTGTAAAGCCCTTCGTGCGTATAACAATGACCTCTTAATTGAGATAGTCACTGACATTCCTCTTGACACTTCCTACTTGCTAGCCTTTGGGCTAACTGTAGAAATCTCTTAAATGAGATAAAGTTGTACCCCTTTAAATGAGACAATTTGTTTTATACACCTTTAAGTGTATAGTAGTCAGCTCTTAAATGAGAATTTTCCCAGTACCAAAATTTTGACAAAAATATTAGACCAAATTAATGTTACCAATTTTCTTGACACTTTATTTCTTGCATTTACAGTAATAAGACACAACTTTAAGTAACGGATAACTCCTTCAGTACCAATTTTGGATCATGATTTTTTCCCCTAACGTAAAGTGACAACAGATAATTTAATTTTTGACCCTAAACTGTAAATTAGTTAACATTCCACGTAATTTTTTCATGACCAAAATTTCTTCACCAATTATTTTTAATTACCAAAATGTAAAGCCTTTGTAATGAATTCTAGGGGGATTTAATGCAAATGTGCGGTTCCCCCCTATTGTAATTTGTTTACAATTAAGGGGGGGGGTGAATTATTTAGGATTCACATATTACCAGAAGTCAAGCTATTTTCTTTTAGAGACAATTGACCGTAATCAACCACAGTGATCAGAGTGTTGGCGGACAGATCATTCAGTATTTCCAGGATCTTCTGATTCTCTCTTCTGCGAACACATGCATTTGCTGTAATTTTGTCGTTAGCTTTTAGCAGCTCAAACCAGTTAATGGCTCTCCGGCACCCTATCTGGAAGAGATAAAATTTAGAATTTGTTTGTGTTCCTGAGACGAATGCTTTAGGAGACTTGAGAGGAATGGTAAAAGCCATATGGTTGGATTTAATTCACTTGATGGAAAAATAGGATGCCAAGCTTTGTTTTCTATTAATCTGTGCTATCAAAAGATGCAAGAATAAATTGACACAGCTTCACAGTATCAGAAAAATTATTTTTTAAGGTCTCTCAAGAAGAAGGGTTCAATAGGTTTAATTGCATGATGAATGGTAAGTCTTATGCAAGGAATAATTTTGACTGTAAGCTGGATCTTATGCGTGGCTCTTGACTGTTACTAGATCAGATCTTAAGGTAGCCATCTTGTGTGGCTGCAATATTTAGTTGGCTGTACAGGTGAAATAGGATTAATCACAAACTGTTGTACCAGCCAATTGCGGTTGTCTTCTCACAGCATTTTTCATGTTTTTGTGTTTGTTATTTTTGTTCTAATGGTAGCTTGAAGACAACAGTAGTCTAAAATGTTGCCCTGTCCTGTTCTAATTTCATTAAATACAAGTATTATTTTTTTTTTTTATTTAGGAATATCCGAAATCAAGGAGTCTTTGCTCACCGAATTATAATGAAGAGAAGAATCTAAAATTTCTTCAATCATCACCCATTCTCCAGAATACTGCAAGAACTGCTCTCCTTTCTTCAAGTATCTTGAAGACACAATAATTAACTCAACCTGGTCTGTTTTATTTCTTTGACGTCGTACGTTAAATGCATTTGGGAGAAGGATGTACATTCTTAAATTTTGAATGGTTGAAATGCAACAAGACTAGATCAATCATTCAATGTTTTTTTTTATGAATTGTTATAAAGTACTGTTTATACTAATTGTACTAATTGTTGTAAAGTGATATGTACCTAGTAAAACTGATCTAATTAATTTGTATATTTGTGAAAAAATTATTTTAACCCTTTATTCTACCCTGAAAATGTCTTCAAGAAAAAAAAGGAAGAGATTAAGATAAGAACTCTCTTCATTTTTATATTTTTCTTAAAATGATTAAATGACAAAAAATCTCAGGAAGTTCCTCTAATTACACTAAATGAATAACAAATCATTACATCTGATATCACTGGGAAAATGGGCTGGAAGCAAAGTTCCATTGAAGAAAAAGTTTCCCTAACTTCAGGTAAAAATGTCAAAGATTTTTGATTGACTATAATAGATTTTTTTTTTTTTTGCAGAAAATGCCCAATATATTTTTCTCAGTAATTCTTGTATACATTTCTAAAAGTAGACTTTTGAAAATAAAATGAACTTTTTTTGCCCCTGCTTTCAATAATGCATTCCCAAATTTCAGAGTATTCTTTTTGTGTCAATTTTAGTCAAGGTTAAATATTCAAAACTTAAATTAGTCAATTGATAATTTAGTCAAGACTTAATTAGATTGATCAATTAATAATTTAGTCAAGACTTTCTATCTGAAATAGATTGGCAGGGAATTTCGATCGCCAATTTTTTCTGTCTTTTTTTCTAGTCAATTCAAATTTGAAGACTATTAGCCAATATGTTTTTTATTTTCTTTTACCTTTGACGTCACAAGCAGTTTTTATGACTTTTTTATTATTTATTTTTATTTGATTTAATATCCCATTCTAGACCTAAAATAATACTGCTGAGTAAAATTGACCAGAAAAAATAATATTGCCGGGTAAAAAAACTATAATTTTCCTACATTCTACTCTGATTTATGGGGAATTTTTAGGAGATTTTCTGCATGAATATGTGATATGAAACAAACTTGAACAACAACTTCAATTACAGCAGCGAAGTATTCAGATCACTTGATATCAAGAAACACTGATCAAATTTCATATTTAGCCGCACAATTAATTACGTAGATCATTGCTTGTAACATCAGAAATCACAACATAGTCGTTTTGAACTGAAGTTAATGCATGAACAGCACTGACTGAAATGTAAGTGTGATTTTATAATTCCCTATTTCCTCCACCCCCCCCCCCTTCCTCTCCCAGGAAAGCTTCTTTTCAGTGATGAATGGTTTCTTGTGCAAAGTGTTACCATTTGGTCATGAGTCTTCCAAGCAGGGTTGCCAATCTCTAAGGAGAAAGCTCTGTATTCATCCGAAGTTCCATTTAAATCTCATTGATTTTTGTTCATTTGGTAACATATTTTTCAATTCCAACACAGTATTGGCCTCATTCAATTTTACTCTTTGTGCTTCCATGAATTACCTTGATTATTGATTTTTTCCAGGAGTGTCTTCCCCACTCTAGAAGTTATGACATATGGTCTTGAAGATTTAAAATAAAAACAGGTGTGTTATTTCATGATGATTTATGTTATCTATTCATTGCTTGAACCGCTCAGTGCTTGGTATGCCTTTGAATGAGGGTACTGACTTTGCACTCGGTAAGGAGGTGATAGAAAACATCATGTGCAGAGTAACGTTGCTGAGAGAAAGTAGAGGTTCTGTGATTAAAGTTTTTCATCAATGATTTTAATTTGAAAATAATAAAATGAAGCTTGGAATATTGTTCAGGACATGCTAAATAAGAATCAGTATTACATCAGACAACTAAACTGGAGCAAGAAAAAAACGATAAAACTGTAATGAAGGTGACTCAAGATATTAAGACTTCAAAGAGTGCAAATCTTTGTGACTGATGAATTTTGTTCAGTTAGTACGTATCACAAACTAAGCAAATTTTTTATCCATCTTTGACTGGCAACCTTAAAATTTTCAAACCAAGCCACTCAAAACCAAAATTTGACAACCTTTCAAAAACTAATTTTTAGGCCTGTCAACCCAGTGACAAGCTATTTGCTCTTGCCCTTGTAGCAACGACTGTTAAAACAACTTTGAAAAAACTCGTAAATTTTATTGAAACAACTTTTGAAAAAACTGTTGACTTTTTTTTCCTAGGAGACCCATACTGAAAGGGTAGAGTTTTCCTGTAAACTTTATGAGATGTGGGTGATAAAAGTGTTAAAAAACTTTTAAAAGGTCCTCATTTAATGTCTAACATCTAAAATATCAGGGTAAAATTTTAAAGAACTCTCAAGAAAGCAGAAATTCTTTTAAAACTTTTTTACGTAAATTTCATCAGATCAGGTAGATTTTACTCTAAAAAATAACTACCTATGAAGAGTTTCCTCAAAAATATTTTTAACATTTTTTTTTCAGTTTTTGAAAATTTATTTTTGACCGTATTTTTTTTTTCGAGTTTTTAAACATTGATTTTTAACTCATGTTTTTTTTTTTTTTTATAGTTTTTGAACATTAGTTTTTTAAGGTCATTGCTACTATGATAAGTTTACTTGCTCTCGGAGAAAATAAAAATAAAGACAGTCTGAAGGAAATTTACCAGAATAAAGAGAGGGGCTTACAAAAGTGTAGTCTAGGTAAACAGATACACAAATGACCCTTTTTCACGTTTTCCAGAAGGAAAATACTGAGGAGGATTGTTTTGTGGCCCCTATGTGTTCTTTGGAGTTTGGGGTTCAGGAACCTCATTGATTTTTTCATCTGGTTCTGTTTTCATCCGACCCTTCAGGCACATCAGTGCAGTAAGTTAAACAAATCTTTAAACAAGAGACTCGAAAGTCTCAAGACTTTTATCTCCTCCTGAAAAAGTTAATATTTTGGCACTGCCACAACGCACATCATTTATTCAGATATACATAGTCAAAAAATATGCTAGTCCAAGAGCCAGACGATTTTTAGACAAAATCGTGATACAAGTTTTGACAGCTTGGACTCTGACACGGAAAATGGTCATCTTAAGAAAATTCTCAGTTCATCGCTTGATGTTCAATGTTCACACCAAATTAATGTAAGGCACGTAAACGTAATTTGCGAAATGTTGTCGCGGTTAAAGCGCCTTTATTTGGGCGTACACGCAAATTCAATTACGTTGTCGTGTTTATCACGTACTCCGTCTTTTGAAGGCGCTTTTTCGGTGTCCATCCGCATTGCTGTCGTGACTAATTATATGTTTAAAAATAACATGATGACGAACGTGAATAAAATTCTTCCAAATAAAAAAAAATTCCTCTCAAAAATTGAGCACGCTGATGCGGAAGAGAGAACTTCAGGCTCCTCGTCGCACTTATTTTTTACCTGCAGCTGTTCGGCAAAATATTGTCCAGAAAAAGACATATTTTTAAGTGCAAATTTAAGGAATATTTTAGATGAAATATTATGACTCAATGAATAAAGACCTTCCACTGACCAGGACAATGTTATGCTGAGGGCATGCTTTTATAATCTGTCCTAATTTTTATCGTATTAGCAGAATCCCAAGTGAAAAGAAAAATCAAGAAAACTCTAATATCGGAATTTTTCCGTGTATCAAGTACCGTTCTGCGGCGCGACTTGCGTCTGCGGTCTTACACGGATGACAGGCGGGAGGGGGAAGAGTGACCTTTGCGGAATTTAATGGGTTTCCTAAGGGCCAAATTTTTTTTTGGTAACCACCCCTCCCCTCAAATCTAAGAATCTGTAATCTATCGGAAGAAGATCTAGTGCGGTACGTAGAGGCAACGCCCTCCGTTCAAGCCCGTGCAATGCATTGCTATTGCAGAGCCGTATCCCGTTCCGTATCCGCGGCGACCGCGGCACGGACGGTAAAATATCATCGCTGCGTGCCAAGATTCATCCGCACGCTTTTCAGTTTCGTCCGCTCATTTTCGATTTAATTTCCTCCATTTAACCCATACTAACAATTGAATTAATGTCAAAGTTCAAAATAAAAAGCTAAAGTTTTTCCATTTATTCGGAACGCACTTAATTTTGCGAGGAAAAGTAGCACTACTTTTCTGCGAAGCCGCGAGCTTTATCGAGCACCATTGAAGCAATGGGAAAATATCAATGAGCCTAGTCCAATACCGACCGTGTTCAGAGAAGTGTTTATGTTTCGTGTTTCGGTTCAGTGTGGGTGTTTATTTTCTAATTTATTAATTTTGTGAGTGACCAGTGATCTCGGTGTTTTGTGAAATACTTTGTGCACCTTTCCCTATGTTGTGCTGCAAAAAGTGACGTTTGCTCCGCACGGATATTTCTGAAATTTCGACCGTGAGTATCAATTGCCATTCTGTGCCTATCCCTGTGCTTTGATACGAGTCCTTGACCGGTTTTTTGAAGCACTCATGTATGTACTCATATCACTGCATCTGAAAATACGCCCGCAATTTGCCTTTTTGCGGCAAGCGAGAGACTGCAGACCAGAAAACCGTCAAGCTTTTCTTATCGCTATCACTTTAGCAGGTTGTTTGCTTTTCACCTGCCTTATCAATATCAGCACCCAACTCACTAATCTTGACCTGCATTTTCTCCGATTTCGGAGTTTTTAAATCAGCATGATCATTTGAAGTAATCTATTTAAGTTTCTTCCTTTGATTAATCTTATTTCCTTGACTGATACTGAGAGGAAATTTATTCGCCATCCTCAGTAGGTACTACATCGTTACTCTTGTAGCAACGTTAGCAAGTTATGACGATGATTAACAATTTGTATGTCGTGTAAGCAGTATGAAGCAGTTTGATGTTGCATATTGCCAATTGTTTGAAAATAGAAAATCCTAAATTTTAATCAACCACAAGGTGTGTGAAGGAAGTCTGGAGAACTCTCATTCAGTAGGCATCTCACATTTTACCTGATACAAATCGACTCTACCACCCAGAGAAAAGGACTATGCATCGTGAAATAAATAGCGGATCAAACTCTTAAATTTTAGATCTCAAGAAAAGCCTTGTATCTCGTGTTCCCTCTGGGTAAATTGATAACATATAAATCTTAGACAATGCCCCGGAGGATTCCTCACAAGATGGTCTTCTTATTTCACCGCTGATCATTTCTCTGTCTCCTCTAAGAACTAGTATAACCTTTGCAGGAAGTAAGTTGACAACGTGAATTGCATAGCACACATAGTCGGCTAGAGTCTATGCCAAATAAGTATACGCGGTTAGAGTCTACACCAAATAAGTATTTGCACACTTCTAGTATGCAACACATGATCAGCTCTCTTTAGTGTAGCATTGGAAGTCAACACAGAATCTAAAGAACAAATCCTCTGTTTGACTTATTTGGTGTGGACTCTATCAGGCACAGACACAACCTGACCGAACGGGAAGCAATATCCTGTTATGTGACAGAACGTATGTTCATTGTCTGCTTTTTCTTTTGAAAAGTTAATCTCAGCAAAACTATTTATGAGGATGTATTAGTAGCGATGTAAGAATAACTGCCTAATCTTTATGAATGAGTCAAGAGTGAGATAATTCCAGGTTTACCTGGAAAGAAGACAAAATCCACTTTACAACGTGAGTAGAAATCAATTCAGGTTACTGCGATCAGGTAGATTTTTATGAATTCCCATTGATAGCATTGAAAGAGGTTAAACTATTGTTTGGAGAGCAGTGTAAGTCAATGGCTAATCAGAACAGAGACCAACATGGCTCAATCCACGCCCAATCAGCCAGCCATGTCACCCACCGCCTCTGATCCTTTTTATTTATTTTTTTTATTCAGTGAACTATTCATCAAAGTATGAACTTTCAAGGCGGATAAAGAAAGGTGGTCGCATTTCGAGTTGAGCCACCATTTTAAAGCCTGTGATGCGCAGTGGGTACATGTTTTGCCATGCAATTAGGATGTACCCGAAACGTACCCGATGCCGTGTGATGTCAAGAGGGTACAAAATACGACCACCATTCTTTATCCGCCTTGATGAACTTTGACCAGATTACTTACACTGTGCTGAGATCAATTGTTTGCCCTAAATCTGGAGAATGTCACTTCCTGTCAATGGCTTTTTTTGAAAAAAAAAAAAAAAATTGCTTAAATATGCAATCATACAACAAAACTACTATTAATGTAAAAATTTGTGTGGAAACTCATTATTTTGCGTACTTAATATTCAGAAAAATTGACTAATACATTCCAGCTTACCTCTTAAAGGAGTCAGAATGGCTTGTAATTGTAGGTATGTGAAAACCTCATTTTTTCGATATAAACAAGGCTCAGCTAAAAATGACAGTAATTTTTTACTGCGTCTTGGTTTTGGATGTTCTTCAATGAAATCATTAAAACCACTACATTACTCGAAAAAAATACGATTTTTTCTTAAAAAAATACGCATTTTGTGTTTTTTTTTCTAATTAGTTGTCAATACTTCAAGTTTTCTCTTTACAGTCTTTTAGTGTATATTATAAAGGACAGATTTCATTAAAGAACATATAAATCTGAGATGTGGCAAAAAAAGTTACAGTCATTTTCAGCAAAGTCAGGTCTTTTACATTAAAAAATGAGGTTTCACATATAATACAAGACACTCTGGCTCCTTGTACAGGTAAACTGGAATATTTTTATCAATTTTTCTGAATTTCACGTGTACAAATGATCCTTCTTATCTACAAATTTTAACGTTACCATGTACTTTCATTTTATGATCAAATTTTCTAGCAATTTTTCGCCAAAAAAGCCATCGACGGAAAGTGACGTTTTCCAAAATTAGGGCGAAAACTGATCACAGCGAGTTCTTTACTTTCAGTTGACCTAGACTAGTGAAGCATGGTCGAAAATTTTGATGAGTACCTAGGTAGTTTACCTTCAAAAAAAAGAGAAAAATTTCATCTATAAAAAACGAACGAAAAAATTATGAAAGACCGAACATAAATGTGGTTAAAAATTTTAACTTCCACCGCCGCGCCGAGCGCACTGTGTTGGCGCAATGCGTAAAGTATTCATGCAGTCTTGTAGGCGCTATGCGTTTCACGCCGACCGCTGCTGACCACACTGTTTGGCGCAATGCGTGAAGTATTCATGCAGTCTTGCAGGCGCCATGCGTTTCCAGCCGACTGCTGCTGACCACAGTGTGTTTGACGCAATGGGTGAAGTATTCATGCAGTCTTGCAGGCGCTATGCGTTTCATGCTGACCGCCGCGCCGCTCGCTCCGTTCCAGGTCAAATTGCGTGATTGGTTTCTCTCTTAACTCGACTAATTGAAGGCGTTGTCTCATGTATCACCGAGAGGCGACAAAATTAGAGACGACTACACCTTTACTCTGAGGAAATGAGAGATTTTGTCGTCTTTTCTCGTTTGTAATTCATTTTCTAAATCCGATTTTTTTCTCTCTTATTTTGATACCTACATTCAAAAAGATTGCAAAATTTGCCGCCCCCTACATTTGCTGCCATGGGCCGCGGCCCATGTGGCCACCCCCTTGATCCGGCCCTGGAAGAGGGAGTATTGTCTTGGAACTGAAGCGGGCTACGGTGCTTAATAATAAGTAGGCATGAGCCGCTTGAGATTTGTCATGGAGCCGGCCCCGGCACACAGCATCCGCACACCATGCTCACGGGAGGGCACAGCGTACCCGCTTACAAACCGTCATCGGTCGGTTCAGCGTGGGGAGGGGGGGGGTGTCAAAGCCGGTCGGTCACGCCGCGGCCGCATCCGTGGAGGATATGATGTTCGGTTGGCGTCGCTTCGCAAGCCCGCTGATCCGATGGAAATGAAATGATTTTTGGATCTGGATCTCTTGTTACGGAGTCATGACTCTGCGGTGTTGTCACGTGTTCGTATCGCTTTTCCTCTTCGCCCTCGTTTGTAATACAAGGCATTTCTGCTCATTTGGCAATCGTCTGGCCCACCGAGCGTGAATCCGTGGTTGCAACCATCCCGGCCGCTGACCCTTGGGTCTCTTGGGTGCCGTTTCCAGGTGCTCCCGCGACTTTTATTTGTTTATTGCGTCAGAATCTGATCCTCACTTGTGCGGAAGATGGTGCAGATGAGAGCCGTAAACATCAAGATTCTCTGATTCGCGGACCCTGCGCAAGTCATCAAATCCACCTCGGCTGAAGGAGATACACTGGAAAAAAAAACACACTGGACACAACTATTATTAAAAATAATAGAATAAAAATTCCACTGAATCAAACCATTGTTTTTTTAAAAGAAAAGTAGAAAATCCCACGCCCAATATGAACATAAATAAAAAAAAAAGAAGAAGCCCCATTAATATGAGCATACCGAATAAGTCAACCATTATTAACATCTCGCATAATATGAATTACTCTATCAAAAGCAACCCTCACATTAGCTGCATAATGAAAAGTTAAGAACAGACCTGTTCTGGAGTCCAGACTCTTAAAAACATCGACAAGAAAAAGCACTCTTGATTCAATCAGAATCTAGCTTAAATCAAGAACCAAGCCTCTTAATTTAAGCGGATTTCGTTTTGATTGAAGCAAAAATCCGATTGAATCAAGAGTATTTTTCTTGTCAATGTTTTCAAGAGTCTGGACTCTAGATCCAATGTGTTTTTCTTCCCAGTGTACCCAAATTCCTATCAGAGGCAAAGCAAAACCGGAAAAAAGTCAAGAATGATGACGCTCAGTCCTTGTTTTCGGTTGCTTTTCGCGCTGCGCTAGCGAGGGTGGCAAGGTTGAGTCATCGTCGCATTGTGACGCGCCTTCAATCAAATTGGCTGCAACATGCTTACACCCGTGGTAGAATAGTTATCTCGTTACGCCTGCCGTGAATGAATTCCACTATAGCCATGGTTGCACGCGAAAAGTAGCGTATTTATCTCCGATTGCAACGTTGCACGGCTGTACCACTGCTTTATTCTTCTGCTTAGTTGTCATGCGTTAGTTTTTCTGAAAAGTTCACAACAACATTCCTGTATCATTACGAATAAAATCACAGGGAATTTCCCCGCGATATTTTCATTATTTTTTTCCATTTTTTTTTAACTGAAAAAAAAATTAGATTCCGTCCGAGTTTATATTTAAATCGTCGCAATTGAGATACATATTTTTCTATTTATTATGTTAAAAACGGGGCAGAGAGTGGCGGCAACTTCAGCGGCGTTCAAGCCAGGGTGAATAGTACGGTCTAGCCATGCCATCGTCGTAGTGTGACGCGCCTTCAATCCAGCTGGATGCAATATACTTACACACGTGATCGAATAGTTATCTCGTTACGCCTGCCGTGAATGAATTCAACTATCAATGTCTGCACGCGACAAATAGCGTATTTTTCTCCGACTCGAACGTTACACGCCTTTAT